CTAGTGATTGGCTAGAAGGGTGACACGATCAGTCGTCTCCGTGCTGCACCTCGTGCAGGCACGCGAGGATGAATGTGCGTGCAAGCTTCTGTGTGGGTGGGTGAACATCAGCGCGCCCATTTTCGCTTCCCCTTGGTTGCACACATACGGTGCCCAGGCCGCCCCATTCCCCTTCTCCCCCCTCCCCCTGCTACTCTCACCCTGTGTCTGACCTACCAAAGCTGCCAGCACCGACGCTGGGGATTCGTGGTTGATGGGCCTCTGGCACATCAATTGGTTATTGCAGAGCCCACGCAAGTGCGCCTACATCGCCAACTTCGTTTTCGATAAGCGCGGACATACACGTACTTCGGTGCTATTGACTGGACCACCGGTAAAGTTCCCTATTTCCTTTCTTTTCGTATACATGCTTGATAAACATTGCTTTATGTACATTGGAGCGATGTTAAGAACAAGTAGAAACCCAAATAAATCTGCGATGATGGTTTTATCAGCAAATGTCTTAGTCGAACTGTGGCACAACATGAGCTTTGTTTCGCTGAACCAAAGTGATTTTTATGAAAAGTGTAAAACCACGGTTTTACAGAAAGTAAATTTATGCGACTCAGGAAGTCGAACATTTAATATCAATGGCAAAAATTGGCAATTCGAAAGGGCGAGGTCAAAGCTAAACGAATCTCTGTTTAAGAAGGCAAGTCTTTTGCCTCAAAACATGATATGGAAATGTTTGTAGCCACTGCAAATAAAATTATGAGTTAGTGGTGGTGGCTTATTTGTTCCCTTAAGTAATATGTAATGAATGCAACAATGAATTGCAGACGGTCTATTGTTACCCTTTGACATTTGTGACCAAAGGGCCAATGTGGAAAGCCAAATCCAACAGGACACATTGACTCATGTTATCTTCGCGTGACAGGAGAGTTGAACCTCCACTCCAACTCCCTCCCTTTCATTTGCGTGTGTACGAGACTTAAAGGCTTGTGTAACTGAATGTGGCGCCATGGGCATGGAGCGAACATGTTGAGATGCAATCGTAACCATTTGACTACTGAATAGAGTATTAATTAGTCGGGAAGAGAAAGCGTTATTTCTCTATCATCGCTTCATGGCTTTCTAGAGGCCGCAAATGTGCTGACAGTGGCCCTTGAGTAACACACTTTACTAAACACCGGAAAACTCATATTCGCCTGCCATGTAATCACCTTCTGTCCGATGATGGACTTCAGATCGTCCTACTTTATTGGCGCTCAAATTTTTGAATGTATTGATCCCACATGACAAGCAGAGTTCACATTTACGTGATTTAAAAGTCATTCCTGCGCCCTTAAAATTTTAACTACACTTTTTCAATTTCCTCTTTTAGATTGCCGATCAAAATGTCGAAGAAAAGTAAGTAATTTTTATTAAACCAGTTGCATTTCTTACTCGCTTGAGATGCTAGCCGATCGCTGCAGAGGTGAACACTCTCGAGGCTTTGCAAATGAGCAATTAGTGGAATTCACTCATCAAAATGAACTAAACAAATGGATGGTAGACTATCGTCCACCTGCCGTGAATGAAGGAAAAAACTACCATTTTATGTTTGATCGGACTCACTCCACACCATTTACGATCTGCTTTTGCAGGCATCCTTCATGTTCGTAAACATCTGCCATGTACATACTGGCTTTCACCTTTTATCTAAAGGCCCCAGTGTAATAGGTCATCCGACTAAGTAAAATGCTAGAACGCTTAGAGGCTTCGGTCGGTACCGAAGCATTCAGACTATGTAGAGGAAGGACTTTGAGTCACCCTCTGCCAACTGTCTATTTCAGCCCTCCCCAGCATGGCGAATAATCCCTTCAAGCAGGCCGACAAAGCTGCTAATCCCACTGGAGCTAAACCGAAGTGAGTAACTTTCAGTCACTTGCGTTGCATTAAACGCTGTGGAGTCAACTGGCAAATAAACCTTAAAGAAGGCGTCTTAACATTAGCTTAGGCTTCATATTTACTAAATCCAAACTAGCCTTTTAGTAACTATCCCGTCCAATGAGTGTTCTAAATGTCAATGGATGGAAACAAATGAGCTTGTGACGTTTACACTTCCTCAGATAGACGCGCTGACTTGAAAAAGTACGAGACCTTTATGAGACAAGACGCATCCAAGATGTTCTTTTGCTCAAGAAGTTGCGATCAGGGAGAGTTGCTCCACTAATTCCTCTTCTACTTGCAGTCCTATCTTAAAGCAATACATGTTCTGGAGAGTGTGGTGAAGTGAGGTAGTGTGTGTTTTTTTTAATCTCCAATAAAATATGCCAGCTACTTCATTTCCGCTAACTGGTGACAAATCGCAGTAAATTTTGACAGGAAGGTATGCTTTTTGAGGTCATGTCGGCCGTTATTGACGGCACTGGAGTTTTCAGCTGAATTTTGCTGGGCTCATCTTGATACGCTAATTACTGTGGCACTCAGTTGAATGCAGTGAAATGAAGTTAATTCCAAAGGCTCTGAAAAGCATTTGCATGCTTCACATTTCGCCAACGTATCCCACGAATGTATGAATCTGGTTTGGCCGCCAAAGTGGGTGGGCTGCGATAGTTTACAGTCAACAGCCCCAGTGACAATTTAAAATAAAAGAATCTCATAACGAAAACAACGTTATTGTCATCATTTAGCTTGTCTTTGATCCCCTCAGTATTTGAACATTTCCTATAAAACTAGCAGCTTTTACGCATCGAAATGTCAATCTTCTCTTTCACCTCTTTGTTTGAAGCTCGGAAAGAGGAAAAAAGAGCTCTGTGAAGTGCCTTCATATTCGCCGCGGCACAATTATTAGGTAGCCGAATGATATCGGTCAGTTTATAAAGCTAATTAAGCACAAGTTGGGAAACTGCGATACTCTACTAAAAATAGAGCTCAATGATTTACTGACATGCAAGAGGAAAAATGCCAAACGCGACTGCAAACAGACAGTGGACGATGGGCTGCCATATGTTGCTGCATGCTTGCCAGACTGGCTTTGCCAATGTTTGACTGAATTCATTTTTTCCCTCAAAGACACTTTGGACTTCGTGAATGACATCCAGTGATTTGGAAATGACAAGAAGTAATTATACGAATATCAGCTTCTCCTTCTCTCAGAGTTCTATGCAAAGAGGAACAAATTTACATGAGGGTAAACGTTTGGTTTGCTTCTGTCAAGATGCACACAAGTCTATGACAGGCCGCAAATTCTGAGATGGATGCATCTAATTTGCTTAGCCTTGCTAGCCAACCAGAATATTTCATTTGAAATTGAGAATATCTGATTGCTCACTGGCACGACCAGTGAGAAGTTGGCTTGGTGATTGGCGTAGCACACACACTTTTCATTGGTCCACGCGTGGTGTTACACGTAATGAGGTGAAGTTAAAGGCAAACCTTGTTTTCATACGAGTCATTGGGTTAAAAGGGGAAAATGCTTCGTCGAAATGTTTCTTCATTATCAACTTTATATGCCCCTTCCTATCAACCAGTAACAAGGAGTCATACGTAAGTATAAAACTGCGCCTCCATTCCAATGAAATGTCAGCAATTGTTTACGTAAATGGTGTTTTCTTTAATTGAAAAGGTCGACACTGTTAACACTTACTATTTGATCACGAAACATGGGCAATTGTCTTGCGTCATTCGAACCCCTTCTTTCAGAACTTGTAAACGTAGTGGCCACGTCTTTGTCTAACAATTTTCCTAAAAGCCATTTCTGGTGCAGTAAAATGACAAACGGGGTTTTGCCAAAATCAACTGTTCATTGAATTCGGTAGCTACTTGGCGCATTCGTCGTGGTTAGAGCTACGGTGTATTCAGTTATATTTTATTAACGGTTTGCCCTTCTCCTAGGCCATTCAAAGACAGAAATGTGGCAATGTAAACACATGAGATTTGCAACAAATTCGAACAATCATAGTTCCTTATTATCCAAGTTTTGTCTGATTTGAATCTGTGCAACTCTAAATTTGACCATGATAAAACTTCTAGGCTATGGCAGTTCGGGGAAAATTTTTTTAACCATCCACTAAACCAGATGCGTGTGTCTTCGACTTTATCGTCATGTCACTGCCCTCTTTCAGGAAAAGCAATTCCCCCTAAGCATAGATATGAACCTTCAGCGTCCTAAAAATAGGTGATAGACCCGATGAAAAGGATAAGTGAATAGATAATTCCCTCGAATGAACCGCATTGACAGAGGAGGGCAGATGGGTGAAAATAGCGTTTTAAAATAGGGAGGCTGATGAATGCTGTCACGGTTCCTACTATGCTACAGCTTTGCGGCGTCCAAACGGCCGGGTGCCGCCTCGGCCAAGGAGATTATGCTGCACTGGTGCCAGGTCATGACCAAAGGGTACCCGGTGAGTGTCCCACACCCTCCTCCTCTTCCACCTCCATCTCTCTGCCTGTTACGCCAAATCTCGGACTGTAGATCCTCAGTTAATATGATTAGATGGTGCAGCAAAACATGGAGCTAACGCTCACTTCCTCTTAATGTGGTCTTGTTTCTATTTCCACCTCACCGTGTTTCCTTGCACACACTTTCAGATCCTCAAGATACGTTTGAAGTTGTTTAGGTCTGCCTTTATGACTCAAGGTCAAGTTTTTTTTATTGCATCGCATTTTCTGGATTTAGAAATGTGAATAAAATGGGATAGTTCGGGTAGATATGCTAAGGCAAAATGTGACAGTAATTTGACATTTAATTTTATCACCATTTTGGTCGAAATCTTAACGACCAATGTGGTATCAGTGGCTGTATCGCTGTGCAAGTGAAACTCGAGCAATAAACATTCCTTCGTTCGTACCCTCTACCACAAGTAGAGTTGAAGCGTTCTTCCACTGCCCAAATGTTAAAATGCGTAATTTCAATTTCATCTTACTCACAGTCTGCTGCAGATGGTAAACATAATGGTTCTTTCACGTCTTTAGGTACAAAAAGCGTTACTGTCATGAGAGCAGTGAGATTGATGAGCTACACATTACGCAAGTGTTGACTGGAATGTAGCATCAAGGAGGAGGACCTTAAGGGAGGTTCATTTTGCAACGATGGTTTCTAAGTGTGCTTTCTATAAGGTCACTAAATTTTGCGCCTTAAAAACTCCGCTTATATACCACAGCCACCGTCGCAGGTACCAGAGACTGATAAGCATTTTTAAAGTACAGAAGTGCGATTCAGTTAAGGGCTTGTAATTTCACTAATGTTTACTACTGGGCCAGGTTAAAATAGGACCTCGGAGTGTTTGACTTGCCCCATGGGATAAATGGAATTGACGTCGCGAACCCTACCAACGCCAAAGACTTGCCTAAATTTTAATGAAGTCACTTATGTTTGATTATAAAAATCCAAAACTTTCAGTTCGCTTGTTTTGCTAGGTATCAGCTTTTTTGGGAAGCCATATTTTAAGATTGTTTGCCATTGCTTAATAGAATAAAATGTAATGTTTTTATTTAACTGTTCAATGCAGCACGTGGAGGTGAAAAACTTTGGCAGCAGCTGGGCGGACGGAATGGCTTTTTGTGCGCTCATTCACCACTTCTACCCTGACGCCTTCGATTTCTCCATTCTGAAACCGGAGAATCGACGGGCCAACTTTGAGCTTGCATTTAAAACTGCCGAGTAGGTTTACATCTCCAGCATTCAGCTCCTCCTTTGCACCAAAACGCACGCCTAGTTATTCTCTTGGAATTGGAGACCAAGCTAAAGCAAATCCCCAAAACTCAATTCAACTGTAACAATTCATTTGAAACGGTAACCCAATGAAAGTTCATGTTATTGAAGGAGTCACTATAATTCAATGAAATTAAAAGCCCATTCTTATCCTAGAACACCCCTGCAAAGATGTGATTTGCAGATATTACGACCATTCCTACAAAAGTTCCACAGTTTATGCATCGAAAGCACCCAGTGAAAATGCTCGTGTGTTTACTAAAACTTGGAGTGTTGAAAGAATTTGACCTCATTTTTATGGATGGGTGATGAGTCAGTGTTCCTTACCTGACCTTCCCGCCTTTTGCCAAAGGCCAAGGAGTGGTGCA